AAAAAAAAAAAAAAAAAAACTGACACTCCTCAATACTTAGTTACTTACACTCTTCTCTTTCTCCAATTATCATTTCATTTGTTTTTTTTATTAAAGACACATTTTGTACATTTTATAATACTGAAAAGAAATATATTTTTTTTTTTCTTTTTATTTTTGACTAATAATAATAATAAAAAATCTAAAATCTCGCGTTCTCGAAGCCATGTAAATCGCTGACTCGATTCAGAGACTTGCGCATGATGGCCACCTTAGCCAGCCGCTCAGCCGCCCTCCAAGCCGAAGTCGGCGTCAGCGGCTCCACCTTCTCGGCGGCCCCCCTTCTCCAGTTCAGCTCCGCCAGCTCGGCCTCCAGCCCGCGCACGAACTCCGAGCCCGATCCAGAGCCAGACTGGAGGACCAGGGCCCGGGCGGAGGCCAGCGTGTGGTGGGCGCCGACCACGTCGTCCCTCTCGGCCATCCTGCGGCTCTCGGCGACGGCGCGTGTGGTGACGAAGAGGCACCTGAGCCTCTGGATGTCGCGCGTGGATGAACCGACGGCGCGTGGGCGTGGGATCGTGAGGGGACGCTCCACCTTGTCGCATATGGTCTGGTGAGTTGACGGGTCTTTGTAGGAGCACCGAACGGACAGCTGGCGGCGGGCCCCACCCAATGATAATGATGATGGGACTATTAATTCTATCAGCAACTCTCTCTCCTCCTCAGAGTGCAGGTCCCCGACCCGGCACCACCCGGACCCGGATCCGACTATGGCCGGCCGGCCCGCGTACGAATACACGCCCGCTATCTCGCCGGGGGCAGACCCCGGAGCGAACCCCAACTGGACCCTCAAGTCTTGAACCACGTCGCCTATGAGGCCGACGATGCACTTCCCGACGGCCTCGTCCGCCGGCGAGCTGAGCCACGCGCTCAGGTTGACTGAGTGGACGGCGATGTCCCTCTTGCGCGTGGAGGTCACTGGCTGGGCGCCGCGGTGCCCGTCGGTCAGGAGCATGATGCCGGCGGTGGCGTTCCTCTCTCGGCGGTCGTCAAGTACCTTCACTGCCTTCTTCAGGGCGTCCGCGGCGCTGGTGGGGCCGCCGACGTCGTCCAGCGCGACGACGGCGTCGATGATCCTCCGCGCCGATCTCCGGCCGGTGGTGCTCATCCTGCGGAGAGGCAGCAGCCGCTTCGATGCGGTGGAGAAGGCCACGATAGAGAGACGATCGGCGGCGGAGAGGGAGGAGACCACCTTCCGCAACGCCCTTCTCATGAGCCGGAGTTTGTCGGGGGTCATGTTCCGGCTGACGTTGAGCACCGTCACCAGATCGACCGGTGCCCTCCGCACAGCCGACGCCGGCGCCTTGATTTTGAGGACGACTGCGTAGGTCTCGCTCGTCTTCCCGACCGAAACCACCGCCGCCTCAGACAACAGAGCCACCTCAACGCTTTTCATCCTGGTATCCATCGGCCCGGCTGGGAAAAAGCCCGGAAAATCATCGTTTTCCTCTTCCGTCTCATCGGACTCGAGTATGGGGTTAAAGAGGGCACCGGAACTCGGAGAAGAAAGAGGCTCATCGTCATTGTAAACCTTGAACACACAGCGCTTGTCATTTTTGGAGCTCAAATCTGGGCAAATAGAATCGGAACCCCTATTGCCGGCGGTCAGGAGGTGCATTTCCTTCCACGTGACGCTGCAAATGGGGCATGTGAGAGAGCCCCGCTTCTCCATGTGCGCCGTGATGCACGGAAAGTGGAAGCTGTGGCCGCACTCCGCCGTGAATATGGCCGTCCCCTGCCCCGTTTTCACGCTCTGCAAGCACACTCCACATCTACTCTGCTAAACAACACAATTTTCCCACACAATTCAGAAATTAAAATAAAGAAAGTGAAAGTACTCTACTCTTAACTGAATTCCACTGTTGAAAAAAAAAAAAAACAAATGAAAAAAGCTCTCAGCCTTTAAAACAAAATTAGTAATCAATACCTTTGACAGGCGCAGACTAGATTTGAGAACAGAGAATGTGGAGGGAGAACGAGGTGAAGAAGGGGCCGATCGGTGGAAAAATCTAGGGCTGTTTTTGGTCTTGCAGTGAAGCTTCGGGCTCTGCGGGCCCTTCTCGCACGGCGGAGCAGAGGCGGCGGCGGCGGTGGTTCTGCAGCGGAGGGTGGGGCTAACGGGACGAGACTGCAAACGAGGGGTTGATGGCTCGGAGAAGAACCCGCCAAGCCTGGTGGATCGGATCCTGGGGACCGGGTCGGGTCTCTCTCTGATAATGGCCGAATCTCGCTCTTGATCCTTCCGGATTGATGTGCAGAAGGCTCTCCGCCAACCCAATACCATCTTTTCTCAATATTTATTTTACAAACTTAGAAAAGAAAATGGAGAAGAAGATGAAGAAAGATGGATAAAATACAGAGGAGAGAGAGAGAGAGAGAGAGAGAGAAGAAGACAAAAGAAGGAAAGAGATTGAGAGAGAAATGAAAACAAAATCGATGTGTTTATTTATTTTTGCACATAAAATTTGTGGTTTTCAATAGTAGTATTCAGTTGGAGGGGCGCATAAAAAAGATGGCTGCAAATATTTCCAAAAAGACATGATACGTGACATCACACCAATTTTTTATTTTATTTTATTTTTAATTATAGGAATCTGTTTGTTTTCACGATGAAATATTAAAAAATCAGAAGATCATATGGTTCAATTACGAAATCATTTCGTCGAGATTTGTAACTCTGAGATCAATTATATCTGACGGTGATTATTTAACGATTACAAATTTTGATGGAATGGTTCTGTAATAGGACCGTAGCATTTTCCGTAGGTTGGGTTTTGGGTAAAAGAATAAATTTTATTTTTATTTTTTAAATTGAAAAAACGACCGCCAGGTGGAGTTACCTATAAAGTCAACGGGGTAGATGAACCTGCCCTGCTGTATACCAATTTTTTAATCTTCATTTTGCAAATAATACAATGTAAAAGGGAATTTTCAATGATATGGGGAAAAAAAAAAATGTATACAACTTTTCACAAAAGAATAGCCGGTGGTTGAACCCTTTGATGACCGGAATTTTGAATAATTTGCCCAAAGAATGAAGATGTTCGTCATTTTGGTCAACATTCACTAAGTTTATTATTATCAAATTTGCTTCAACATTCGGCGGTCTATATCAGTATTTTTTTTATTTTTTTAAATAACTTTTTTTTTCACTTTTGAGCTAATTAATTAGTTAATTTTTATGCTTTAAGTGCCAACAAGTTATGCGATCAACTATGCAGCAGACATACAAATATAGTTGAAAGTGCAAAATATATTATGCGATAAACTATACGAAAGACAAACGAATATAATTGATAAAGTGTAAAAATCTTGAGCAAGTGTGAAACAAATAATACGACAAACGGATGAAATAATTGATAAAGTACGAAATATTAATGCGATAAACTATGCGACAAACAGACGAAATTCATTGAGCAAGTGTGAATTACTTATACGATAAACTATGCGAAAGACATACGTAGATCATCGGGCAAAAACGATATAATTATGTGATGAAATGTGTCACACATATGCAAAGTTAATTGAGCAAGTACAAAATAATTATGTGATAAACTATGCGAAAAATAATTAAAATAATTGAGCAAGTGCGATCTCATTATGTGATAAGTTGTGCGACAAACAAACAAAGTTAATTGAGTAAGTCCGAAATAATTATATGATCAACTATGCGACAGAAAGGAGAAGATAATTGAGCAAGTGCGGTGTCATTATCCCATAACATATACAACAAATAGGTGAAGTAATTGAAGAAGTGTGTAAAAAAAATGCAATAAAATATGCGACAAATATGCAGAGAATGATGTGAACAGTTCGGTCAACCGTGGTTTTTTGCATAGCATGCCTAAATTTTGGCCTGGGCCGGGCTGGTTATCAGGTTTAAAATAACCGACCTTGAACTTGCCCGTACCTAGGTACATTACAGGTACACGACCTGGCAGGCCGGGCTAGTTTAGTGACTCGGTCGGCAGGTTCTGACCCCGAACCAGACCTGACCAGGGACTCGTCCTAACAAAAAGATGTAAAAAAAATTTACGTTGATTTCCAACGATCAGATTTTTAGACCGTTAATAAAAAGAATTAAAAAAAAAAAAAAAGAAGGATGGGTCTGCGGCCCGACACCCCGAATCATATGTTACATACATATGACCCTGTACCGGTTCTATGTAAATCCGGGCAAGGGCCCCGACCCGTGTTCAACGGGTTAGACCTAGCTAGGTTTGTGCCAGTTCTGGGCCAGGCCCGAGTCAGTCGGACGGCTGGACGACCTATGGCCATGTCTACTTTCGTATTTTAGTCACAGATCAGCTTCTTGCACCTGTTTGTACTATATTCCAGTTTCTCCTCAACTATGAACTTTTCTTGTAAGCCCCGGAAAAGTCGTCCTATCGGGAACGATGTACGAGAAATACGCGAATAAAGTTTTTAACATCTTGATCCTCAAAGTTTTTAAGAATAGAAATTTCCAAAGCAATGAGACGGGGGATCTTAGGCCTGATCAAGATCAACAATCGGAGGAACCTAATAAAAAATTATAGGGACGACGACTTGTATGGATTGATCGAGAATACATTGATCAAGGACGAGAACAATGAAATTAATACATGAACCTTCTATCGGGGTGCGGATGTAGACGATCGTAACCATGAAAAATACCAAATACATTCGTTTTTTTTTTTTGTACACAGTGATAAGGATGTGGATGAATTTTTTTGGACTTTATTCATGTAGTACTTATACTACTACGTGACATTTTAAGTTGCCTTATAACCATTTATGTAGTATTTGTAGTATTCATGCAGAACGACTGTTCGAATGACTAGTTTGCCATGAAAATATGAGTCGTTAAGCGACTTTATTGCAATGGAAATGCACTGCATTTATTATTGTTTTTTTTAAGAACGATAGGGTCACAATAATGAAAAGGTAGGGGGATAATGGATCCCCCTGCCTGATTCCCCTGGAAGGAGTAACATACCCACATACCCACTCTTGTCTGCTTTAATCTTTGATGCATGCAATAAAGGACATCTGCAAGGACTTAAATTATCCAAGAATGGCCATGTTCTGTCACATTTGCTATTTGCAGACGACTCCTTATTCTTTTGCAAGGCTGGGGTGGATCAAGCTTCTTTTCTTCTGAATTTGTTGGAGCAATACAGATTATTTTCAAGCCAACAAGTCAACCTACAGAAATCTGCAGCCTTTTTTAGCAAAAATACACCTTTGCAGCTCCAGCATTCTATCTGTCAAACTCTCAATGGGATTACTTCTCACAGATCTACCAGATATTTAGGACTTCCCCTTGGAATTGGGAAGTCAAAAAAGGAGGTATTTGATTATATCCTCACTTCTGTCAAGTCAAAACTGAACAGCTGGAAGTCTAACCTCCTAAGCCCTGCTGGAAAGGAGGTTCTACTCAAAGCAGTGATTCAGGCCCTCCCCATATTCTCTATGTCTTGCTTCAAAATCCCCATCTCTCTTTGCTCTGAATTATCCAAACTGTGTGCTGAGTTTTGGTGGAGATCAGGCAACCAAGAACATTCTGGCATTCACTGGAGACAATGGACTCTCCTTGCTCTTCCAAAAATGAAAGGAGGACTGGGGTTTCTAGACTTCAAACTTTTTAACCAGCCCCTCATTTGTAAGCAATTGTGGAGGATAGCTACCAACCCTCAACTTCTGGTAAGTAAAGTTCTTAAAGATAGGTACTTTCCTAATCACTCCATTGCTCATGCTGTTAAATGTTCTAATGGGTCCTGGTTATGGAACTCTTGGATGGATATGATGCCTATGTTCTCAAAATGGCTTAAAATTGAAATAATGAAAGGGGGCCACTACTAGAATTGCTGATTTTAATTGGATTCCTTCACTTACTAAACTTGTGCCTAATTTGATGGAGTTGGCTAGGGATCATTTAATCTGGGTGAAGGATCTTATGTTAGATAATGGGAAGGAGTGGAATTCTTGGCTTATTAAGCAAGTTTTCTCTGATCATGATAGTGCTGCCATCCTTAGTATCAAGACTCTTAAACCAGACAAAGAAGACAGATTTTTGTGGGGTCTACATCAGAAAGGAGTGTTCTCTGTTGCTTCTACTTATGCTCACTTAGCTGCTAATAAACTTTCTATGCTGGATATCCCTGAATGCAGCACTTCCTCACCTCAGAAGCAAGCTATAATTTTCAAAAGCTGGAAACTCAAAATTCAGAACAAAATCAAACAGTTCTTGTGGAAATGCATCTCTGGTACCTTACCTGTAGCCACTCAGCTCATTAAAAGGGGCATTGACATTGATACTACCTGTTCTATATGTGGAGCAGCTCCTGAGACTCTAGAACATCTGTTCTTTTCCTGTCCCAGATCTATCAGGTTATGGGAGCTTTCTCCAGTTCAATGGGACCCTCAAACCTGCAATACTGATTCATTCAAAGGATGGTGGCAACAAATCTGCTCTCTTGGCTCCTCAGATGTTGCTGAAGCACGGATCCAACTCTCCACATACTTGCTTTGGTGGCTCTGGAAGTCAAGAAATCTATGGGTGTTCCAAAAATCTCTTATGCCACCACACAGAGTGATTATGGCAGCCCAAGCTGACTGGTTGGAATTCACTCAACCTGGTGGTCATCTTTAGATAGTTTTTTTTTTTTTTTCTTTGGTTATTTTGTTTGGGTGTTTGTGCTGCCTTGGTTTTTGTTGGACTTGGAGACTAATTATCTTGCTAGGCTTTGTGGCAGTGGCGGGTAATTAGTTTCCTTTTAGTTTCTTTGATTTTATCTCCTTGGTTGAGGTTCTAGGCCATCCTGTATGTGCCTCTCAGTTTTCATTTTCGGTTGTTTGTTAGTTGGTTTGTACTCTGTACTCTTATTCTCTTTGAGTTTTAGTAATATAACCTCTGTCGTTTCGAGAAAAAAAAAGAACGATAGGGTCATTTATTATTTTTGTTGTGACCTGATAGTCTCAAAATATTCGACTCTTTACATGAAGGTTTTTTAAAATGGCAAATTCAAATTTTGCGATTAAACTGTGAGAATATACTCTACGACAGACTGCCAAAGTGATACGAATTACTGTTGCGAGATCATTATTGGACCGCTGTTGTGACGTATATTGGTCACATGGTTATTATTTAATACAAAAAAAAGTAAACAATTTTCAGATACGCTATCACAGACTGTCAAAGTAATATGAATATTAAATCACAAAATCATTATATTTGTTTATTTATTAAAGATGCGTCGAAATTGTGATTCACGGAACCATTACTTTTGCTTTGTATTTAAA